CCCCCCCCCCCCCCACACTTCCATGTCTTTTCACCACGCAGATGGTAGTAGTATTTGTAGTGGTAGTAGCAGCAGTAGTGCCGCATTCGCACCCTTTTTCGTGACCCCGTCCTCGTTCCCCTCTCGCCCCTGCGTTTGTAAACGCCTCTGCTGCTGTACCCGGCGTATTCGTTCTTTCCTCTATTAGCATTCCCATCGGGACCACGACGTTTCCGAACCAGCTGCCGGAGGCCTTGCTGGCGGCGAACATCGGGGGGTTGGGTGTTCTTTTGGGTGAGATCCACAAGCGTATGCGGGACGCACAGCAGGAGTCCCGCAAAAAAACACGGTGGCTGGTAGCTGTGACACCCGAATAAGAAACAGACAGCAGAGCCACCGCAGTCAGATCTCATTGGGCAAGGTCGAGTTGCTCGGCCGACTCGTCACCCGGCTGTGGTGCCAAGTCTAGCGACAAGAAACAGCCACGAGTAACCTCATGGTTTTGTCGGGAGAAGGAAGGCTTGTTTTTCACAGCAGTACTGGGTCCCGGCCGTGTCTCTTATGAGGTGGGGTAATATTAGCCTTGTGAGGGATGCGTCTTGTCTGGTTGAGAGGAGGTTCTCTTACTGTTCACCCTCTACACAAGAGTCGAGCTCTTTTTTTGAACCTTTACTTGTTATTCCTTGACCTCATAGATAACCAAAGTGACCACTCAGGCCTTGTTCTCAACGGTATTCTTCTCGGGGTGACGGTGTCCGGGGTTCCGTGAAATCAACCGACAAACCACCCCCGTCTCACGGTGTCGTGCACCCCCGAGGTTCGAGCCCTGTGGTATATCCTCAATCCCCCCATCCCCGTCGCGTTTGTTCGTCTTCGCACTCTGCACAGCGGTGGCTATTCGGCTGTACAGCGGCTGGAACTACGTCTCCCTTCGCCTCGGAGCCGAAGTCGTGGAGTACGAGGAGTCAGGTAGGTGCCGCCTGCCTTTTGGTTCTCGCGAACGGCGCGCGCCGCGAAGGAATTCTTAGCACGCACTTGTAGCAGGCGCGGGATGGATGCGTGCGCCCACCACACTGCTGCCGGTGGTCTCACCGTGGAGGCGCTGTATCCGTTTCGGCCCTTTGTCGTGTGTCGCCGCTTACGTGTCTTTTCTCGACATCTAGCGACCAGCATGGCTAGGAAAATTCACCCACTTAGACGTCTGCCTCCGATGCGAATGTTGTAGGAAACTGGTAGACACGCGGTCCTTTGTTCCTTCGACCCGTTCTCCGCGCAAGCGATCTGTGTTGTGTATCCATCAGGCGGTCGACAAACGTGCTCTCTTGTTCTGTGTACAATGGACGATTGTTTTAGGTTGGTACGACGGCAGCGAGTGGTATAAGCCCCCGGACATCCGCGCTAGAGACGAGATGCTCAACAACTACGAGGTGCAGCCGGCCGTCGACCGTCTCAAAGCGTGAGCCTAATTGTAGCTTGCCCTTTGTTCGTGTTGTACGTATGTACGTGTGTTCCCTCCTGCAAGTTTTATGCGTCACCCAGGGATGCGTCGGAAGCAGCAGTAGTGCAGGTGCTGTTTGGACCTCCCGTGTTGGTGTTCTGGGTCATCTCTTGAGTTTCGGCGGGCCTACTGCACCGTGTACAGTTTTTCGTCGTTTCCCGTTGAAGGGGGGCGAGCTCGCCTAGCCGCATGAGTTGATCAAATCGGAGGGCTAGTATCAATGTACTTAAGTAGTTGAAGGGGGGGGGGGGGTAGTCTGCCGGGCCGGGCCGGTTGTACCGACGCCAGCATTCGAAGGCATCATCGGATGACGTGCAATTTACATTGCACGACTTGAGTCTTGTGCTCCATCTCGCTTTCTCTCGCTCTTTCGCTCTCTGTCGTTCTGCCTCCTTGCCCTTGCCATCAGCAGCGTACGACTTGAGTCTCAGAATCCAGGTCTCGGCTTTCTCTACCCCTCCCTCTCTTTCCGCTTGTTGGCTTCTCCCGAAGAACAGAGCCTTGGGTCTACTAATTCTGTTTTTTGTTTCGCCTAACCTTATCCTAAACCTCTCCCTCCCCCACCCCCTATGTTTCTCTCTGTCTCCCTCCTCCTTGGGTGCGCTGCGGCAACGGCGGCGGACTCGAATAGGGTTCTCGCCGCGATCGGGCTCGGGTTTATGCTTACGGTGGTCGGGTTCAAGGTTGTGGTGCCGGATGACCCATACGCGATGCTAGACGATACATACCTCAACACCCTTAAGGGTGACGATGACATCGCGAACGATGCCGCCAAGAAGGTATGAGAACCGCAACACTCTTGCTGCTTCTTGTAGGCGCTACTGCTGTACTTGAAGCAGCAACCCTAGCAAAATTGTCGGATCAGTGTAGGCGGGGGAGCGAGTACGCCAGGGCGGAGATATTTGCCAGTGCGAAGCGACCGCTGCCGAGGAAAGGAAAGAGTACTGCTTAATTTTGCCCGGTGGGTTCATCCGTGTAATGCATACAAGCCGGTGTCGACATTCCAAGCGCATGGACCGTCCCTTTTTTTTTCACCACGCAATCGCAAGTTGTCGTTCTTTTACGCTACCAACGCCACGCCTTATTTGCCACCCGTCGTCCAACCAAACCGTCCTTCGTCGACGGCATCGTTGTTGTTGCCAGGCGGCAGCAAGGGGTACGAACCGGCCAGTCTATTGCGAGTCGCGGTACTACCAGGCCATGGCGGGTGGCGGCCTTTGTGACAAGTAGAGACCGGTCGTAACGTTAAAGTTTCCATGCTGGCTGGCTGGCCGCTCGCTCGGTAGGTCGGCAGCGCACGTTGGCTGCGCGCACGGTAGATACAACATCGATGGAGCGTGGGGGGGGGGGGGATGGGTTCGATCAGGCGTATTCGCCACCGTGAGGAGAGAGACCGCGAGCATTCCTTCGTTTCTTAGGGCGCACTGCGGCGGTGTGGAGCTGAACAGCGCTGGCGTTGTCTTCTCCCGATACCTGCTACTGGAGTGCGTGCTCTCTATTTTTGTTCGTCTGAAAGTATGACTCGTCTTCACAGAGGCGGCCATGAGGTTCGAAGGGCTGTGTATCGTGTCCGACACGTTCCGCCCCGCAGATGATGCGGTTCAGGCTGTATAACAGTCCGTTCTTTTCCCAGCCCAACCGTACATGCGTACAATATGCCCCATGTTTCCGTTCCCTCAGTTGATGCCGCGCGAATTTGGGGATTTGGGGAGTCGGGATGTTGATTGCCAACCAAAACGTGCTGTTTACCAGAGATTTTTGTGTGAGAGGTCACCTCCTGATCCGCCACGGAATCAATCTCGTCGCGTCAGGTGCCCCATACTCTTCCCCTGGTGTCATGAGTGCACAGGCAGCGACTAGGGAAACGCTTAGCGTGTGAAAGATTAGATGGTGGTTGATATAGAGGCCGGAGTCGAGCGGCACAGCACGAGGCGGGACCGGTACACACGATGATAATGGTTCTTTGGGAGAGGGCGTAGCCACGCGGTAGATGCATTGTATTGTACGTAGTTTGTACATGGGTTTCGGGAGTGGGGGTGCGGTTCAGGTGTGGGATTTAGAACGCTTGGATCACCGGCCCTGCGATCAAACCAGGGAATTGGCGCAGAGGAGCGTGAGCTTGTGCATATGCCTTGTGTACAGCAGTCTTTTCTTCGAGGAGAGGGATTGGTGACTGTCGTTGGCTGTACATCGATGGTATCCGTGCGGCTATATAGCGTCGGCGGTGAGGGTCAGGGTGACTCTTTTGTTTCTTTCGTTATTTTAGGAAAGGTTGTGGTGGTGTAGGACCCGGTTGTTGGTGCTGGACGGTGTGTGTATGTGAAAGGCAAGATTTGGGGTATTGGTGACGAGCTGGACACATACTGGCCGACTGAAGGCAGGTAGGTCTTACTAGAGAAGGCTAAATAAATCTCCCGGGGTTTAAGTTTTGAGGTACGCAAATAAATAAATGACGTGTCACGATTGATGGACCTGCCTGGTGTTTGGTGCGTCGGGTCCATCCACCATCAATAGGTTCGCACCGTATTGTTGCGGTTGTGATGGAAGTGTCGCTTTCAGGGCTTCGAAAAACGGATGATGAGTAGTCAAACGGAAGCCGGCCGTTGAATTACCGGGTAGGCGGCAAACGACGACCCACGCGGCGAGATGTTTGCTTTGGTGGCAGGATGCATTCCAACGTTGACAGACACGCGCCGTCCGGTGTTCGCGGTACAACAAAAGCTGCACTTTTAAGAAATGAACAAAGCGCAACATGACTAGACTAGTCTATACATGTTTTTTATGTATGAATGTATGTGTTGCCTAGACACAAGATTCGGCTACAACGCTTCGCGAGACGGATACATATGATGAACTCCCATCGCCAGCGATCGTCTTTTTTTCGTAAGGCTGCAATAATCTAGTAGAATATTTAGACTATTTGGTCGGGTGACGGCACTGCTTTGAAAAAAAGACTTGCGCAATAGTCTAGATGCACTCGTCCACGTGATCGCCTGATGTCCACGTCTGTTTTCTCCTTTTCCCATCCAAGACTATAAGTTGGTGACATGGATGTAGCGCAATATTGAATGTGCCATCTTCCTACATTCCAGGCATGCATGTATTGACCTACAGCAAGCTACACTACTAATACATTTTATAGACTTGATCTCACGTAAAGTCTGATTGTGGAATTTTTTGGATACACTGCTGTATCTTCGAATCTTCATCTACGGAGCCCCCTGAAGGCCTATGCCAAGACTTGTCCCCGTAACCCCCACGTGACCGGCTCTCTCTTTGGAGCACCCAGGAGACAGAGAGTCGCTGCACTTGCCAGCTGCCCCCCGCAACAAGCAATCACAACCCAGCGGCATTGGTTGGATGCACACGAGAACATCGGTGAGAGAAGAAAGAGTTGGTTTTGGTTATGCTGGTCCGTTTGCTCCTAGCCATAACATCGCAAGCGAGATATATTGCAAAGGCGCGCAACCGGCATCGTTTTCACTCCAAAATAGCCGAATTCGCGCCGGGCGCTGGGCGTAAGCCGCACGCATGATATTGCTACTTGCCGTTGGCCGCGCTGCTGTTGATTGTTCATACCACTGCTTCTTGTTTGACCTGTTACCTGTGGTTCGATGCTACGTCTCGTGGCACGTGTCGGGCTGTGCTAAACCTTCTCGGTGCATCTGTCGTATTTCCGACCTAAAGCGTGGGGTTTCGCCTGTGTAACTGCAACCGTGTAAATTATACCTTTGTGACCGCTGTGACGGTGCGAGTCTATAGGTAGAACGTTGTAGCACGCCTGGGGTTCACGACGAGGGAGGGCCGGGAGCATGATCGCCATCGGGTGTTTCAAATGAGCTTGATGTGAACGGAATCACCGAGGGTTGTATTGCCTTCCATCCTACCAGCTCCTGTTGATGCTTTCATATTTCGAATCTGTCTAGTCTACCGCTGTACATACCTATGCTCAGCAGCGGTTGACGTGTATCGACCGTGGCGCGACGCTGTGTGTACGCTCATGATACGCAGCAGCACTCACATTTTGTCGGCGTCGTCATTCTCTCCGCGCGCTTTTCGCCTGCCCCCCCTAGGTACACCCCCCCAGGTATTCCCCAAACAGCCAGACGTATCTCCAGCAAGCTCTTTCAGCATGCCCACTACTCCGGCGGGTGGCAAGGAGAACATTGGCAGCGGCGACCCAGACGCCAACATTACCAAGGCCCCAAAGCCTGCTCGCCGTGGCGTAGGCCCGCGGAGTGGGACGAAAAACGCCTCTCCCCGGGTTTCTATCGCCGGCTCTTCTGTTGGGCTAGTCGCTGCAAAGAAGTCGTCCGCGGTGTCTCCCGCGCCATCGAAGACGCGGCCGGCGGCGGCTAGGCCATCGAGCAGCAGCAGCAGCAGGAGCAGGAGCACGGCCATTGCCGCCACAGGCCCTCGTGCTCTCGCCGCCAAGGCCTCCTCTTCGGGCCGAGGGGTAACGGCAGCAGCGTCGGCTCGGCAAGGCTCTGCTGCGGGCAAGCCCCAGATGCAGCAGAAGCAGAAGCGGTTGCGGCCGGCGGTGCTGGTGTCCTCGCCGGCGCCGCCTCGTGTAGCATGCGATGTGAGCGGCAGCAGCGGCGGAAGCGGTAGCGGCGGCGGCGGCGGAAAGAAGAGGAAGAGCGCCGTTGTCGGGGGTGAGGGGTGCGGGAAGAAGCAGCAGCAGCAGCGGGGGTCGATGGGCAGGAAGAGGCTCCAGCCCAACAAGGAAAAAAACAGGCAGACCAAGGTCATCAGTCACCCGGCGGCGAGGTCAAGCGCCCCGCCTCTCCGCTTACCCTCTCGAGGCCGATCGGATTTCGATTTCGATTCCGACGACTCAGCGGCGGACGACGAAAACCGTGCGTGGAATGCCGTACCCGCAGCGGTGGAGCCGGCGAGCAGGAAGAAGGCACGGGGCGGGGGTGCTGCCGGGAACAAGGTGAAGCGAATGCGTGCATCGTCGGGCGGCAGGCGAGAGGCGGCGGACGGTAGCAGAGCGCGACCCCTGGAGGGGTTTGCGGCAACGAGTCCGGCCCCTGGCACCCGCGGTGCAGGCACGAAAGCGACGACGACCGCAGCTAGTCCTTCCTCTTCTCCGAAGCAGACGGCTCACCACAGCAGTACTTCAACGGCAAGGAGCGGTGGTGGCAGCAGCGAGGCTAGTGCATCATTCTCTCCGCGGGGACCGTGGCGCCTCGGCGCTCTGTTCGCAGACTCAGACGACGACGACTCCGAGGGAGACGGGGAGGGGGGCGGGGGTCTCGCAGGGTGCAACTGGAGGCTGTCTGATGACGAGAACGAAGGCGACGACGAGATCGACCTGCACAAGAGGAGGAGCCCACGGCGGTTTGCTGCCAGGAAAGAGGGTCCCGTGTCTGCCAGGAAAAAAATGCGCAGGGCGAGCGGCGGCGGCGGCGGCGGTAGGGGAAGCGATGGATGCAATTCCGCTGGCGGTAGTGGCGGCCGGGGGGGAGGTAGTGGAGCCATGGTGGAGAAGGCTGGTGGTGGTGCCGACGGTAGTCTCTCGCCGTCCGTCCCCGTCGTCGATGGTACAGCTGCTGGCGGTAGCCCAGGCAAGGCTTCGACGAGCCAGCAGGGCATCGAGGAGCAGGCGGAGCATGCCGAGCTGGAAGCGATTCGAGCGCAGTTCAGGAAGGTGGACTCCCACCGTCTGAGCCTGTCGCGCTAGACAGTGTCGTGTGATGTGCCGGCCGCGCGGCGGACGGGACCCCCCGGTATAGGCAACGCGCTCTTGCATGTGGCATACGGCGGTATTGCGAGTACCGGTGGTGCGGCGGGACTGTTGAGAATGTCCGGAGATAGATAGATATTGTGGTTCCAGGGAGGTAGGCGTGCGGCACCCCCTTGTTGTCTTTGAAGTGATGCATGCTACGCTGGCGCGGAGCGACCCTGAGGGCTGCGAAGAAAGGGCGATGGGGGTTGGTCATGCAGCGGATCAATGTGCAGCTATTTCAAATGAGGTGTTTCACTGTTGTAAGTAAGGGTTTCCTCGGTATTTACGAGGAGTTACGTTTGAATGTTCCGCAGGGGCCTCGGAGAGAGAGAGCGTTTTGACTCAAAAATGTTTGGATGTGTGACCGTCGCTCGTCCTTATGGGTGTTAAAACGAGAGGAACGGCAGTACGAGCCAGTGTAGAATATCGGCGATGGTGGTCTTACCTTGTGTAGTTGCAGATGGTATGTGTTGTGTACACTAGTATGTTGTCGGCATCTAGCCCTCGCAAAAGTCAGGCTTTGCGTCCCTCGTGAGCGGGACGCGCTGCTTCCGGCTGTGGCTTTGAGACGCCGTGGAGGCGACACGAGACCCGGTCAAGGCGTGCTGGGTACTTTGTCAGCGTGGACGTTGAGAGGGTTGGAGTCGGAGAACAGCAAGAGCGATTTTCTTGGCAGCATTGGAAGTTGGCTAGGAAAGAAATATATATGTTCTACAAGACTCGCGTGCGCACTCCCGGTGCAGTCAAGGTATCTTAGTGAGGGGTGTTGTAGCGCTTCGTTGTGGGGAGAAAGGGGTTCGAAGAAGCTCATCACGGACGCGTCACGTAGTGTTGTTTCTCGGTATTCAAAGGGCTGTGTTGTGTGCATCAAACAGGTTCAGAAGGCCACAAGAGCTCGGAGCACGGGCCGCCCTTGCCTGTGTGGTTGTGCCCTCTCGGTGCCACTGCATTTCCACGTAATAGTAGATGCACCGCGTGCCTTTGTAGCTTTTCGGGTCCAACCCAAAATATTGTCTTGTGCTCACTCGCAGCACTCTTTCGATGAACAGTAAACATCGCATACCGGACGTACAAGCTGTAGAGTCTGTGTCTTCGGTAGGACATCCGTTTCGTGCACGAGGGGCTGAACGTCTTTGCAGAATCAATCTTCCACCTTGCGAGTAGTTTTCGGAGACGAAGAAGTGGCTGTATTTTTTTTTTTGCGAATCAGGTTCTTGTCACGTCAGTGTTTCTTTTGTCATGTTTTCGGCCCCCTGTGACACGCGGTCGAAGTGCTTGCAGATATCGCTACAGCGGTGCCCCCACTCTATGATGAAATGAGCTTTCCACCAGCGTTCGAAATGAGCAGGCAAAGCAACGAAAAGCGTACCACAGCGATGGCAATCCGACATTTACCGGTGGTCCTATCGCTGCTTCGCCTTTGCTGGTGAACTTGTGCATTTCGTTTCGGCAAAAAAAACAGGAACAACACCAAAATATTTGAGATGGAGTCTATCGGACAAGCCTTGCCATTTACGATCGACGGCAAGAATGGCGGCGAATTAACCGTGTGCGGCGGAATCTTGTGTTTTGTGTGTTTTCCGTCTCACGCCTCTCTGGATGAATCCACCGCGTTTTCGCTCGAGAGCAAAAATCGCTCGTAAAAGCATGTAGATAAGACAGGTGCGAACCGCCCCCGAAGACAGCAGTAGCACATTGGTGATCCATGTTCTCCTCGCACGATCTTTGTTCGCTCTTGCCAAAACCGAAAACGCCTCCATCCTCCATCCCGCCAACCGCGAAAAATTGCCCCTCGCAAAAGAACCTAGCGCATCTTCCGCCGCTGTTCATACACTGCGCGCAAAATTCCAGCCATGGGGATGCGTAGTACGGTGCCCTGCACCGTATCGACGCGCCCGCTCAGTGCCGACACATGAATCTGACGGTGGGTTCAACACAAGCAATCTGCCGGTGTGCATGCCGAATCCGCCATGCCAATCTGCGGGATACTGACAGCAGCCCAATATCGTTGCTGTGATTGCCACTAATCAGTCCACCAGCCCTGATAGCCGGCCGGCTCCAGTAGAAACGCGACAGTGTGACCACCATGAATTATGTATGGCGATGTGTGTCTGGCCTTTGATTGGTCAGCGACGACGGTCACGGTCGCGGCTCCTTGAGCGACTCCGCCTCCGTCTCGACCTATCCTTGTCGTCTCTGCTGCTCCTGTCAGCGGATGTTGGTGATGCGAGGGGAGGGGGGGAGGGGGGGGGTACACGTGTTAACGCATGCTGATGTCGCTAGACCATTGACCTCGCATCCCTACACTACCGGGACGGAGGGATGTGCCGGGTTTTCGCCGGCCTAGTCTATAGACGAATGCCACCACACGAACAGACACGATACACACAATTCTGCGCGAATAGTCGCACATACGTAAGCAGCGAACTTTGGCATTCCGTGACAGTCTCAAGACCGAGAGCAAGCCATCGCCTGGGGCTACAACGTGGGCTAGTGTCTCACCTCTCTCGGCTCCTGCTCCTGCTCCTGCTCCTGCTTCTCGCTCCCCTTCGTCTGTCCTTGTCTCGGCTGTCCCGTCTGTCCCTGTCCCCGTGATGCAAAAGAACGGCAAGAATAGAACGGTTCACAGCATAATCAGAAAAGTTCCGGCCGAAAATGTTGAACCACGAACGGTTTTGCCACCCGCAACTTCCGCAGGGCGTCGTGCGAACGCCACAATCACACGAGCAAACCCACACCGCGTCAAATGAAGTATCCAAGGTTGGTCGCAAGCTGACCGACGACGCTGCATGACGCCACGGCGGGGATGGGCACAACGCCTCAATACGAGCATCTAAGCTGCTGTCGCGAAAGGCGCACCGGAAACAAAACCGTTCGGTGCGCAAGCCTGCAAGCAACCAAAATGATGGCTGGAACTCTAGCCCCGAACAAAACCATGCAGCCACAAGTCCCCATTGCATGCCCACACAACAAATACACGCACGCACGCTTCGCGTGAGCACGATAGCCACAGAGTTCCCCGCACCCACCCGTCTCTATGGTCTCCCCCTCGCCCGTCCCTGTCTCCTCCACTCGTCGTCGCCGCCGTCGAAACCCCATTGTCGCCGCCGCCGCCGCCGTTGCGCCCGCCGCCCGCAAGCCTGGGGCGTCCGAACTTATCATACGTGGTCACGGATGGGGCGGGCAACGCATCGTCGAACTGCCCCGGCACCGGAGGTTTGCCGACGGGGGCCAGGCTGGTCCCGCCCAGGATCCCACCTCCGAACGACTTGTGGAGGCGTGCCAGAGCTGCATCCTGTTACGGCATGATGATAGGGCGGGCGTGCTAAGGCCAACAAATGGGTTTGGTATCACGTGCCCATTTTTTTTCCGCCTCCTGGCGACAGACCGCCGCCACAGGCGGGAGAGCAGCGCGGTCGCCGTGTTTCTTTGGGAACCATCAGGGGACTGCTGCCGGCCCGGATGCGGATGTACGGACTCACCTCCTTGGCCTTCTTGTCGACGCGAGCCTTGATCTTCTTCCGGCCGAAGTCGTCGAAGCCATCCTCGTCGACCTCCACCGTCGCAACAGACGCCCGGTCCTGGCGCTCGTTGAAGCCACCGCCGAGCCCCTCTCGAGCCTGCCAAGCGTTGTGAAGCGGAAGCATGCGGGATGATCGAAGCAACCAATCGCGTTCGAGTAGGAACCGACCCAGGGGGGACTGGTTTAGGGGCTTGAAATCCCGGGGAGAAGGGAAAGATGAACATGAAGGTGCTGCTACTGTAGCGTTATCTTATCGGGAACATGGATGGGTCAAGAGGGGGTCGGTCACCATAGAGCAAGTGGCATGATGCAGCGAATATTGTGGGCGGCCGAGTTCCATCGTGACCTGCAGCATGTATTGCTGTCGAAAGGTGGTGGAAATCTTTGGCAGCAAAGATATGTGCCAAACGTGAATCCGTAGAGGTAGGCCGTACATCGGTACATCAGAGAGAGAGGATATGGCGGTGATTCATTGACAAAACGAACGACAGTCAAAGGGCGCTAAATGGTATTGCCACACAGTCTGCGGGAGCAATACATCTATGTGTAGTCTACCGCTGCTGTTAAAACCAGCTTGTGGTGGACTCTCAACACCATCAGCACCGCTCCTGCCGTGTGCTACCAACGTACCATGAAACGAGGGTACCGGTCAGCAGTAGTTGGGAAAGCCAACAGCAGGTAACACCGAAACTCACCTCATCCGTGGCTGCAAGGTTAGGCTTCGGGTTGTTACACTTGTTGCAGGTCGCCCGGCGCTCCCAGTTGACGTTGCCGCACGCGGTGCACGTCCAGTCGCCCTTCTTGAACAGCCCCGCCGGTCCTCTGAAGTCCTTCTGCTCCTTCTTGGGGAGAGGCTTGCCACCTCCGCCAGCGGGAGGAACAGGCGCTCCCCGGCCCATGCTGGCATCAAGCTCCGCGATCCCTGCGATGGCGACGCCTCCGCCACCCCGTCCTCGCCCCCTCCCCCTTCCTCTTCCACCCCCATCGCCCCTGCCTCCGGCTGGGACAGCCGCAGCGGCCGGATCGTACGCTTCGCCCTCAGACATCTCCCTCGCTCGCTACTGCTGCTGTGTATAGAACGCTAAAAATGATGCCAGTCGATCCCGCACCGGGCGATGGAGACCACGGCTGCAGCAGGCCGATTACACAGCGCGTCAATACGCAGTGGTCACCAAGCAAAGTTTAGTACACAAGCAACAGGAGCTGTGCTTACTTGGACATGTGACTGCTGCACTCACTCCCGGCGCGAAGGTGGGGGGCACGCAAATGGAACCTTGTTGTGTACCCAAAAGTGGGGTTTCCCCGCCGCGTTGCAGGTCTTGTAACCGACGCCGGCAAGCCCGCGTGCTGGATCGCCCGTGCTGGGATGCTGGGATCATCGATCTTTGTTCGCGAGAGTTGCGGCTTTCGAGTCTAGATCTCCTGGGATTCAAAGCAAGGGACTGCGCCTGGAAGAACTGGTGCAACAGGCAAGGAGTTGTGAAATCCTACGGGTTCGGTTCATTGGTGGTGTGGGCGAAACGAGGACAAGATTTGGGATGTGAACCACCGATGTCTTCGGCACCGTCAACACGATACAATACCACTACAATACCACCACTGCTGTACACTGTAAATCGCCTATTCTCACTCACAAGGTGGAAGGTTTGGTTGGCCTTCCACGGCGCCTACTGCTGTAGCGAATTTAGTCGTTCATACTCCGGTGTTTCATAGTGGACATATTTAACACAAAGCAAGACGCCATCCCCGTGCTGCAAGACGCCATCCCCGTGCTGGATCTGTATGTCCGTGGGCAGACCGACACCATCTCACTTGGTACTGGTTTCTGTCTTAGCCTAAGGTTGGCCCGATGCGTGTCCTTGTTGTTGCATTGTTGTAGTTTCTGCTGCATCTACTGCTGCTGCTGCTGTTGTTGATGATGATGATGATAATGGAGGTGCTACTTGTTGTTGTTGTCTTGCAACACTTCTTCCTTTGTTGCTCTTCGAGGAAAAAAACAAAATTCCCTGTCATCAACGGATCCATCAAGAGATAGATTTGTGTACCCTTTAGTGTACTCCCCCCCCTACGGGGGCCCCCTACGGGGGGCAGTTGACTTGTAACCACGGAAGGTGTCCGCCTCAGTTGGACCAGTACGGACATTAGAAGGTGCTGAGTGGAGACGGGAACGGGGTTTTAATGTGAAGACAACAGCAACAAACAACCCTTTTGTGTGTATTTTCGTCTCAACTTCTGTGGGTGCAGCCTACAAGAACGAGGGATGAAAACCAGCTGTGCACAGAATGAGCCGAAACAATGAAAGGTTTTCAAGACTTATAAGCACGGCCACCATAAGGGCAGGAAAGCCCCACATGGAATTTGAGCTAATCGCCCGAAAACTCACGCTGCGTACGTCAATGACGTATGTTGAGAAGCACGATGACCACTAGACTACTAGTCTAGACTAGTCAGCGCTGACTACTCGACAACGTACAATACGCGCCACCCCATCCAATATATAGACTAGTCTACATACCTGTGGCTTTCACGCTCCTGTGAAATATCCGTCAAGTTCTCTTTTGCATGTCTCAAAACAGGATGACGAGCAAAGGGAAGAAAGTGGCACAGTCTGGCGCCAAGAGCAAAAAAAAACCCGGGTTTGGGAAGGGACCAGCAGCTGGTGTGGCCAGTCAATTGGCGACGTTTGAAGATGATGACATGTACCAAGAGCCGATTAAAAAGGTGCACACTTTTTTGCTATGTAGTGAAACAGCTTCGCGAACTGTATGGTATATCACGTATGAGCGATAGAGACGTACTGAGGGAACGGATGACAGTCCCCCCCGAGTCTCACCTTTTTCCCCGCTCGCTGCTATGCGCACCCTTCATCTTCTCAACCTCTGGAGAAGGTGGTGCGTCCTGCCAACCAACTGCAGCTGAGTGAAGCGGAGATGAAGGAGGAGCACACACGGGTCCTAACGGCCAATGACCCTAACGGTGAGACCCCAGGGATTACGCGTCACTTCAAGTCGAGAAAATAGTTGGTGCAATTGTGCGGGTTGCTGTGCTGTGCCAAGTGGGCACTGTTATTGCAGTATGTAAACCATCGGTGTTTCTGCAACCCCCATTGGTTGCCCTATACCCCCCCAACCTCACTACACACGCCCACCCGATTTCGCCCTTCCCCTGGCGACTGCCTGCTGTTGCTCTCTAAACCTTGAAGTTCCCAACAATATCAGCAAGTACAACTACAAGGATCGCATGTACAAGATAGATCCTCCGGGGCCCGGTGACCACCTGGCGATGCATCTAGCTATTGATGGCTGGGCTCTTTTTCGCGAGGGCGACGAGGCCAAGCTGCAAGCGACGGCAGAGGAAAAGAAAAAGGCGGCGGCGGACGAGGCTAGGAAGGAGGCGCAAAAGCAGGCAAGAGAGAGGGGGGGGGGGGGGGGGGAGG